CATAGCTGGGGTTGACGTATTGAAACGAACGTAGACTAGAGTAAAGCTGATAAACACTGCTGAGTGCCAAGGTTTTCCAAGCGTTCCATGCCATAATCTGTTCGACTTTTTACGCCCATGGACAATCCACCCAGCCTCATAACGATTCCTCTCGCTCCACCGAACATTGTACGACTCCGAAGAACATTCAATGTTTCCACCATGATCAACGTCTTACATCGCTATAACTAGCATCGTTATAGCCAGCATCTGACGGTCGTCATGCGCTCCCACAGGTTCAGATGGTCGACGAGATCATGCGCGGCTTGGTGAACACGCCTATGGAGAACCTGGACAACTTCATCACCTCGGAGGTCACCAAGCATCTGTTTGAGGAGCGCGGTCATCCGTTCTCGGGACTGGATCTTGTCTCGCTCAACATTCAGAGAGGTAGGTAGCACAATGGCTGACAGTCGGGAAATATCACGGAGTCAAGTGTAACAGTCGTAGAGCTCAAAGTGCCCAACCTAGCTTCATCATTGGACATCGATACGGCTTTTTCACGGTAGGAATCGCAATTCTAAATCGCATGTCTGTGATGCAGAATGTGATTCGAAATAGCTTCATTTCCCAACTTAGCTTCTCCAGTATTATTCAACTTCATAATATGTAAAATTCATGGCATCGACATGCCTCTCTGTTCATGGTCATTCCTGCCCAAAGAAGAGCTCCCTGAACTTACTTCACCGTTCTGTTTTCAGCACGTGACCACGGTCTGCGGCCTTACAACGAGTACCGCGCCATCTGTAACCTGAAGAAGGTGACCACCTTCGACGAGCTCTCCCGGGAGATTCCTCAGCGACTCATCAACAAGATGAAACAGGTAGGCGCAGCAAGGGTCCTTAGTGTGCCTTGGATATTCAGGCAACGCGATCATACTGCATTGCCACGTTTTTCTACCCATGGCAAAATATTTTCTTATCTCCTACGCGATAGCCCTTCGTCAAGTTTCCCCCCTTGTACAACCGACACTGTATTCGACTGTCATGTTTCAGGTCGTCTAATCCGTCTTGCGATGTAAGATCTGACATCAACAATTAGTCATGGATCATAGATCAGTCATGTATTAGGCGGTCTGTCGCTCATCTTGACCCCTCGTCTAGTACCCGTCTAATTCCCTCTTCTGTCGCCTCATCTGACTCACCCTCTCAATCTCCCTTCCAGGTATACGCCAGTGTGGACGACATTGACCTGTTCACGGGAGGTCTGAGTGAGACCCCGCTTCAGGGAGGTCTGGTCGGACCGACCTTCGGCTGCATCATCGGACTCCAGTTCAGATTCCTCAAGAAATGCGACCGGTTCTGGTAAGTAAACCAACGCTCCGGCCTCCGTGACTGGATGTGTATTTACGTAACCATCACGTAAGGTGCATTAATGCGGCAGACCCGCTTTGCATAAAATATTTTGTAGCTTGCGAAGATCTTACTCGCTCTTTTAAACAGCAACTATATTGCATTTGATTCAAAACGGCACAGTTTTAGCATGGAAGGGAATGAACACAAACCGTAGGCTTCAACGTCATAGCCTCCTGCACACAGACGACCGTCGCTTGGCACCTATTCAGACTGTCTTTACCAACATCTTACCCGCGCTTGGTCGCTCGCCAACCACCTTCCCGCTCCTAAACCGCCTTGCCCTCTCGCCGCTTGCAGTCTCCCCAGTCCCCTCCCAATGCTTGTTCGGCCCCTGCCTCTCACCCCGCCCCTCCCATTATCACCCTCTCACCCTTCAGTCTTCTCACCACTCTCACTTCCCACAGGTACGAGACGGAAGAGCCCTCGATCCGGTTCACCGAGAAGCAGCTGGCCGAGATCCGCAAGGTGACCATGAGCCACATCATGTGCCAGAACTGTGACGAGGTGGACGCGCTACAGAGGGCGCTGTTCGACATGCCGCACGACTTCCTGTGAGTAGACGGGTCGCTGTCAGGGGGCACGGAAGGTGTGGGAATGGTGTTGGGTAGATTTTGGGGCGTAGAGATGTTGTTTGAGGGACTTTGGGCGTGAAATGTGGCATGGAGGAGTTAGCAAAATACGAAACGTTCTTAGATATCCATAAGTTAATATTGACGGCAGGAACTATTTGTGCTTGGTTTATGTATTCAATGACTTCATTATTAACGATTGAGTGTAAATGAAGGCGAATGATTTGAAATATATCCAGTCAGTGCTTATTTCCATTTGGCTACGCCATCCTTGCATGTTATCATGTATTTTCAAGCGTAAACTGTGCTCGCAAACGTTGACTTACCTGACGACACTGTGACCTCTGACCTCAGGAACCCGCGGATCGCGTGCCGCTCCATGCCGCGGATGAACTTTGACCTGTGGAAGGAGGGCAACAACGGCGGCGGCCAGTGCAACGTCAACGGTGTCTCCTTCAGCAGAGGCACCACCATCAGCATCAGTCCGTGCACCCGCTGCTCCTGCTCCAACGGGGTAAGCAGCATATCGTACCTCCTCGGCCCTGTTTCACAGAACGCCGTTATCCGATGGCGCAGCGGAGAGTGCTACTAGATATTGGCGCTCGGTTTCCACGGAAACGTAGGCAAAATTATTACAATGATTATGCTTCCATGAATACCGATTGTCAATGCTTGATCCACTATGTAATTGTCTCGAGCATCCTTCTGCGCCATATAACTTGTCTCCTCTACCTTTGTTCCAATGTCTAACTGCCCTCTCCCTCGCTACACCGTCTAGCCTATCTGACTTCTTTTTCTCTCGTGTTTCAGCAAACCAACTGCCAGAGTGTTCGTGTGACCAGCTGCCAGCAGCTGGCTCAACAGCACGGCCGGAACACAGTCCTCGCCGACACCTCCTGTCGCGTCCAGTGTCTTTCCGAGCTGGGAGGAGGCAGTGCCGGAGCCAGCGGCGGCGGCAGCAGTGGAGGAGCACGACCGTCGTCAGGTCTCAGTCCTCCCCGGCCGGTCGCTCCAGCCCCCGCCCCCGTCCCCGCCCCGGTGGCTCCTCCCCAGTTCCAGCCGCCGCCGCCACAGCAACAGCAAGGTGGCTTCCAGCCGGCCGCTCCGCAGTTCCAGCCGCCGCCGCCGCCTCCTCCGCCCCAGCAGCCCACGCGCGGGCGGCCCTTCCGCGGAGGCGGGCCGTTTGGAGGAATTGGACTTGGTCTGCAGGGCCTCGGAAGGCTGTTTGGTCTGTAAGCAGGCTCATACCTGAGGCCATCGAACGATGAGCGAGCGAACACTGAACTATTGTGATCGACATAGAAATTAAGCCGTTCGGACGAGAATCGTCAAACACGAGCGAACGGACGAGCGGAAGGACCAAGCTCGGATGATCCATGTGACACGGGTAAAGGTTATCCGCCCGTTTTTGGTCGCTAAGACGGTCACATATCCGTCCGAACGGTGGATAAAAGGACGGCGGAGCTGTGAAAGTTGACGAGCGAGCTGGGACGGACCAGTCAATGAATCAGAATCGGATTATGAGGATTACGCGTTGGATGACGAGCGAGAGGATAACGAAAGATAATGGAGAGGCGTCAGTGTTGGTACGACGGACTTGACTTTGCGTTCGCGGAGGAGCGTCCAATCCGTCGGCCGTCGCAAAACGGTCAGCTCTAGAACCGAGCGAAACCGAACGAGTTTTCAGGGACAGGCGTCACCAGCCAATGAGCGCGCGTGAGAGTAGCATTAAGGCGGTTTTAGTTGGTCGCCGCTGCCGCAAACACGCACCACGGACACATTATTAATGCTCAACTATTGTGATAGCTGTGGGGGCGTTCGGTGCGGACGCTTGCGGTGCGTTCGGTGAGGACGCTTGCGGTGCGTTCGGCAAGGACAGGAGTGAGAAGTGTGGGTGATTTTGTCTGCCGCTGCCGTCCGGTTAAGCTGTGGTTGTGTCGTTTATTTGTTGCCTGTTGAGCGGTTGCCAGGTGTGAGTTGTGTTGCCAGATGTGAGATGTGCTGCCAGGCGGATGTCGACCGGTGTAAACGCTGCCAGTTTTAAAGGTTACCATTTGAGCCTTGCAAACTGCCACTGGGTGTATTGTGTTCGCTGTTGGCGTGAACAGCGATTTTTCCGCGAGCAGTGTCCCGTATACTAACGTATGTGCCAGTTGTGGTATGACGGATAAAATAAGAGCGCTTTCCAAGCACAGCTGAAATTCTTTGCGACGACTTTTAGGATGCGATCTGAATATTTATTTGTAAGTTGAACTCTATTTTAGCTTTTATATTGATACCTCGTTGTGTATGTGCTGCCACAATATCAGCTGGTAATACACTACTCTTGTATGCGTGACCAATGTTGATGAATTGCTCCCGACGGAAAACTGGCAACCTACCTAGTACCTAGTTCAGCCGCTCGTAATCGTTACCCAGTTGTCAACCATGAGCTTGTTGCAATACTCTTGGAATAGGCATTGGACATAGACAGTGGGGGTCGCATGCAGGGCTGCGGAGTCGATGGATTTTCGGCGACTCCGACTCCGGCTTTCAAAAACCGGCTCCGACTCCGACTCCGACTCCGGGCAGAATTGTCGACTCCGACCGACTCCAACTCCCGACTCCGACTCCGCAGACCTAGCAGGGCTGCGGAGTCGACAGATTTTCGGTGACTCCGACTCCGACTCCGGCTCGAGTTTCTAAAATCGACTCCGACTCCGACTCCGGTCACAACTGTCGACTCCGACCGACTCCGACTCCGACTCCGCAGCCCTGGTCGCAAGGGCGGGGGCATCAGGGCCATGTCACCTCCAAATGCAAATGGGTTGCAATGTGCATCCCCCCGCAACTGATAGCCCATGGGCCTATGGGGCAGTGGCCCTTGGTCGATTATCATGAGGCTCAAAAACCCACACCGGCTTTTCACGGCCCCATACCAATCGTTGAGGACCCAATACTGGCCTGTAAAGGTTCACACTATCTTCCCTTCGTCACGAAATCACATCAGTTCCACTCCCATCCGTGCTTCATCTTCGGTACGGCAGAAACAGCAAGCTTATGCGCAGTTACATATATTTCATTACCACAAAAAATAATACAAACTGCAGAGGCAGAGTCAGCGGAGCCTTCCCGTTCAGGGAAACACTCCCAATTACCTCCCCTTTGTCTGAAAATGGACTAGCCCAGACCAGCGCCGAGAGAAGACCCTCAGCACGCGGAGGAGTTGTTCATCCGGTAGCGTTCCTTCTCACCACATGCCATTTGCCCCGTTTCGCCGGCGGCAAACACAAAATCATAAATCAACAAGCAAATGCCCGTTAGTCCCACCACGCAAGATCCCGCATCAACAGTCTGCGCATCCGCCCAATCTTGAGAGCGACCGTCCTCTTGCTGTAGCCGCACCTTCGCTAAGTGCTAATGCATTTACAACCATGCACAGCGCCACTGGTGGATCCAGGGGGGGGGGCGTTTAGGGCCATGATCCCCCCCCCCCCTAAGCCCGTCCCCCTCCCCAAAGACCCGAGTTTTAACATTACGCCTATGACGGTTACATCCCTAAAATCACGTTTTGTTTGTTTATTGGGGCTTAAGGGCGCGCCGACTACAAGGTCATTTTGCGCCCATAGCTTTATACAAGGCAACGAGCATACCATCCTGAAAATATCAGTTCCCGTCCGATCACTGAACTCAAATCACGTTTATTCTATCTGATTTAACACTCTGCAATCCCACCTAAACAGCGTTTTTAACTCAACATCCCTGACCACTTATCCCTCCCCGCAATGCGTCGGACATTGGCTCACGCATCACTTTCCTCACAGTCTTGGTCGCTCGAGCGAAGCTCTCAGCCAGCGTCAAATCACGAAGCTCTTCATTCATCTGGTCCATGATGATATCATCGATGGGGTCGGATGATGTCGCCTGACGTGAGGCATCAGCCGAAGATGACCAGACACCCTTGGCCACCATCGTTCCGATGAGGTGACCACTGACCACTCGACTCTCTCGAATCCAGCAGGGAACGCTGAAAATAAAACTGCGTTTTAATATAGCAATGGTAATGTAGGGTCAGCATCCACAAATTTAGGTCTGCAAAATTGGGAGGTACACCCTGAAAGGAGACTGACAGATTTTGGAACATCTTAGCCAACCGGAAGAAGATAATTGACGCAGAGGTTTCATGGAGTCCTATATCAGAAATAGTATTCTTTCTACAAACGCGTATTGGAGTTTGACATATGAAAACCTTATACTGATGGTAAAATACATTTACTGAGAAGTCTGCCGGATAACAAAGTCAACCACCAGAACAGGCAAACAACCAGAAAACAGAAATACTCAGTCATGTTCATACTTACAAGAAAGCAGAAAGCATCTCAGTCTGGATAGAGCGCCACCGTCGTTGTCCATTGTCCGTCAGCCAAGGGCCCATCCAAACGGTGGTGTGGTGGTCAACAGACATGTGCACGGATCCCAGACAACCAATCACGGAAATCGAGATGTCCATTAGATTGACGGTCTTCAAGCATGAAATTATGGTGGAAAACATGGCTCATAGAAGCCTCTCAATGAACCAACTATTTTGCATTCCTTCAGGGTTAACAGTTCTGAGAAAATCCCTCAAGATCCATCTCGGATCCATGATTCGTGCCTCGTGGCCATGGATCCGAGATGGATCTTGAGGGATTTTCTCAAAACTGTGAACTCTGAGGGAATGCAAAATAGTTGGTTCGTTGAGAGGCATCTATTAGCCATGTTTTCCACCATAATTCCATGCTTAGTGGGACCCTCCCACCTTCAAAAAAGTTAATGAATTGGCATGAAAGTGATGTCCCTTGGTTCAGAAAGAGCGAAAACGAATATCTACCAAATTTCACCGAAAAATATTCACTGGTTTTCAAGATATTAGGCTTTTACTTTTGTTTACTTTTTGGGATCTCCCCTGTTACTAGCGACTTTATTTGGAAGCAATAATTTGGCAGCCTTAAAGTGCGGCAGACGTTGCGCCGAATTAAAGCATTTTTCGATGTTGTGAGTGCCCAAACCGGTATTTGCAGGCCATGGCCACCAATTTGGCTATCTCAACTCAAAACTAATGTTAAGGTGGGAGTGTCCCTTTAAAGTCCACTAATCTAGTGGCCATCTTGATTTTCGTGTTTGGTCGTCTGGGATCCGTGCCCATGTCTGGTGGTCAATATGTAAGTTGTAGATCCTCACACCACGGCGCCGCGGCAGTAATGCAGATTCCGATGTGATCCTGAGCCCCGGCTAGCTGCGAACACAGGACAGAAAACAGCGGCAGAGGCGACAAGAGCAACTACAGGGGCTACATGACATAAATGGCGATGCTTATGGTTACGGACTTCGCATGGCTCGAGGTATACCGTATAGGCATGACGGAATTCTAGAAACGGGAATAAGAATGAAAAGGATCGAAGTGTACCCACTGATTATAAGAGTTGCACTCATGTACATAAAACGTACGAGTGTATCATACTCGTACATGCTTTTATCATGGTTTGTAATTTGTATTGTAAGTGCATGGTGGCATATCCCTATGTTCACTATTGCTTACGTGACGGTGAGATACGAGCATGTTCTGAACGTTCCTTTGACTAGCGACATGATTGTAACCGTAGGCAATTGGGCATGTATCGGCCTCCTCCGGGCCCGGGCTGAGCGGACCCAGGTGCCCGCCATGTGCCAGTGTGAGGTCGGCGATAGTCCGTGGCGGGTGAGCAACCAGTGGCAAATACATACAGACGCTTCAATAATACACATGGGCACATCCCTGGCTTTTCATAACAGGTGATGACACTGACAAAAAAAAAAACATGGGACGCACAACGGGACAAATATCGGTGGCTGCGACAGAAAGATGCCATGCCACCGCCCAATGGATCTAGTTTCCGTTGCCCATTTCGACCCATTTTCCAACTTTACAGCGACCCTGGACCTTGGGGACGTTGTTTACAGCAAAATTGGAACGCCGCAACAAAGGACGTCTCCTGCAATGAAGTGGAACGGGCGCTGGGAAAATGGTTCACCGGCGTCCGTGACAGGGACAGTGGTCGAAAGCGCCGTCGCCCCAGTCCGCCAGTGCCGTCGGCTTCGGAGGCGACCGCGCCGGCGCCCATCGAGGAGGAAAGCATCTCCTGTGACCCTGATCTCCGAGAGCGACTGTCTCATTCAGTGTTTGGATAATAAACAAAAAAGAAGTGGATTGTTTGTTGACTGATACGCGAATAGTTCGGAGGAAAGCAGGTTGATGGAACGAATACCAGGTGCAAGACACAGGGCAGGCGTTTTCGGGGAGTTTCAGGGTGGTCCCATGTGGGGGCTAACTGGGGGAGGACACAGTGGGCCCATATGGGTCCCATTTCGAACCCACATGGGCCCAATGTGGGATTTTTTGCTTATACCCATATGGGTCCCGGCTGGGAAAGCCCATGTGGGACCCATATGTGCCCTGGCTGGGCCCCATATGGGTCCCATTTCGAACCCACATGGGCCCCATGTGGGATTTTTTGCTTATACCCATATGGGTCCCGGCTGGGAAAGCCCATGTGGGACCCATATGTGCCCTGGCTGGGCCCCATATGGGTCCCATTTCGAACCCACATGGGCCCCATGTGGGATTTTTCGCTTATACCCATGTGGGTCCCGGCTGGGAAAGCCCATATGGGACCCATATGTGCCCCGGCTGAGCCCCATATGGGTCCCATGTTGAACCCACATGGGCCCCATGTGGGATTTTTCGCTTATACCCATGTGGGTCCCGGCTGGGAAAGCCCATGTGGGACCCAATGTGCCCCGGTCGCTGGACTCCTCGGGGTTGAGTACGAAGACCTGATGCGTAGTATCGACTCGAGGCGTGAAGGCCAGCCAGCCATCTATGGACTGACGGTGGCCCAAGACGCGCACGACATCTACACAGCCGAGACCGAGGCAGAGGCTGTGACGGCATACGTGCTCGCGCATAGTGTTTTCAATATTGATTTCCCCAGAAAAGTGAAAAACCTCCTCTACTTTTTGGCATGTTATTGATCATTTTCACATCAATTTTGACTATAATGTCTTCACTCATGCCAACCATCCAAACGATTAAAGAGTAGCGTCCTCTTTCGGCTCCGAGACGTCCTCCAGGTGGGTTCTCTCTGTGTCGGTCTTCGCGGTATCGTTTGCTGTCTGTGTGTGTGGTTTTTTGTCCGTAGCTCTGGTGTTTACTGTCCGATTTTGTTGTTTCAAAAACCAAAATGTAGATAAAGAAGTTTTCTGTCCCACTGTGATTTTGTGTTTGAGTTTTGTGTAAGTGTGTTGTGAGTTTCGTGTGTTGTGTTCGTGTGGTTAACAGTCGCGACACTCCGACACTCGGCGAGTGTGTCGGAGAGTGCGGTGTGACGCACTGATTTTGTGTTTGAGTTTTGTGTAAGTGTGTTGTGAGTTTCGTGTGTTGTGTTCGTGTGGTTAACAGTCGCGACACTCCGACACTCGACGAGTGTGTCGGAATTCCCGTGATGAGACATCCACAGTCGGTCTTGCGGCCTCTGACCCCGCCAGATACACCTCCCCCTCCGGAACCATCAGAACCACCGTCCCCACCCTCCCCGGTATCGGATCATGTTCAGAATCCAACGTTCAATCCGTATGATTCGGACAGCATGTCGCTTCCTGAAGCTGTGAAAACAACGTCCTTTGTGGACGACTGGTCGGATTCCGACTGGGACATGGAAGGTCAACCTCCGGTCGGAGCCCGAGTCGCAACGCAACATATGATGCAGGAGGGACTACCGGGCCGTAGCACGGACGTGTGGGTGGAAGTGGGCACTGCCGCCGCTTCCCGCGCGCCCGCCGCCTCCACCTCAGGCGCGCCCACCGCCGCCGCCGCCTCAGGTGCGCCCGCCGCCGCCTCCGCATTCGCGCCATCCGCCGCCGCCTCAGGCGTGCCCGCCGCCGCCGCCGCCGCCGCCTCACTCGCGCCCGCTGCCGCCACCTCACACGCGCCCGCCGCCGCCACCTCACGCGCGCCCGCCGCCGCCGCCTCACGTGCGCCTGCAGTGGACAGCTTCCTGCCTGCAGAGGGCTGGACCACGGCAGTGGCACTGTGGTGCCCTGTCGTCGCCCGTGTAGTTCAGCGCGACCACCGGCGGAAACATGTCGCCCAGTGCCCTGGCGGCCAGGACTGCCCACTGGCCGGGGAGATGAGGACTATCAAGGACATCGAAGTGTGGTCCGCGCCGACCTCCAACACGGAACGGACGTGTTCCTGCGGAGAAGTGATTCGAAGCGGAGGGTACGGGCTGAGAAAGTGCCTGAGCCGGCACCTCAAACGCAACAAGGTTCATGAAGGGGATGATCAGGAAGAAGTGCTCATCAAGGTACTCAACACTGGGCACCGACTGGTGGCCAGGACGTGGGCCTGCGCCCAGGCCACTGGTCTCCCTCTGCTAAACGGCCCAGAAGTTCCGAAGCCCCCTGGCCCAACTCAAGACGGTGAGACTGCCGGTTCGTCTGAAGCAGCTCCAACACGCTACGTGACACAGCGGAAAGATCTGCATTGCTTGTCTGTGGAGCGGGTGGGGCCCTTCAGACCCGAATGGAGCGTCATGAACATTCCGTTCAAAAACGTGAACACGAAAAGGCAGTACACGCAGCACCTGACGCGCCTGCTACGTGCATCGAACATCCTGGATCACGACAAGCCTCTGGAGAGCCTCGACTTTCGGGTCTTGATGGCGGACACATCCTCGCAAGAAGCGTTGCGCAGCGCCCTGTCGGATTTTTTGAGAGAAAAGTATCCGACCGGGTATATGATGTGTATGTCGCTCAAATGGGTGACCAAGATGATCGGGGGCCGGATCATCGTGGTTCCCGATGACCTGGAGCTGCGCTGGCAGGGGTACCTCGAGGCTTTCAACAAGCTCATTGACTATGAGCTGACGATGGCGGCCGACTCCAGAAAAGAAGCGAAGCGCGCCCGTCGGGACCGGAAGGTGCAATCCTACCAGAGCGACCCCGGCAAGGAGGGTCGCGCCAAGGTCCGAGAGCGGGGTCTACACTGGCTCCGAGAGATAAGAGAAAACTGGTTCACGGCGAGCCAAGACGATCTGGAGCCAGTGGCGCGGCTTTTCGCCCAAGTGCTCTTCATACTATCCAACTTGTTCCAAGGCCAACGGACACAGGTGTTCGCGGAAGTAACAGTGGACGAGTTCCGCCGAGGCGAAGACACGGAGCTAGGACGCTTCGTTGAGCACATGGGCGGGAAGACGAAGGACCAACACGGAAGCGCGGTTGCGTTCTTCCTAACGGCGGAAGCAGATCTCACGGCGTTCTACCTCAAGTATATGAGGAAGCACCTCCGAGACGCACCAAAACCGCAAGTCTTCCCCATCCAACGGTACCCCGCCCAACTGGGCCAGTCGCGCCAGCTGCTGGCCATCATCGGCGTCGGCGCAGATGAGCTCAAGGCCATTATGGGGGTGGGGAGCCGCCGCTGGCACAACACCCTGTCGGCGGAGAAGATGCGGGCAGGGCAGCTCACGTATACTGGGTTTGAAAACCTCTGCAGCCTCCGCCGCCACTCGGCCCCGACCGCTCAGCGGGATTAT